AATCTTCATACTCATCGCCCTGATGATGGAGGCAGTATGACCTCTGAGACGTTGGTAAACATCGACCAGACTACACAGCGCAACAACCCAGAAGACAGAAATCTTCATACTCTGATGACGGAGGCAGTATGACCTCTGAAACGTTGGTTAACATCGACCAGACTACACGGCGCAACAACCTAGAAGACGGAAAGCTTCATACTCACCGCTGTGAAAACCTCAAATCATACGGACATATAGTTGTTGAATAACTGATAAGTAATTTTAAGCATCTTGGCTATGATAGTAAAATGACCTAGACATGAAGCTCGAATTTTTTTTAATATTATGTGGTAAATAAAGAAAATTTTATTGGAGAAAAGAAGAACAGAGACTTATAATTTTTTTAAAGTAATGTCTGAACGTACGGTGCTTTGAGTCGGAATGCCAGTATCATTTGGTACGAAGAGAGAAAGCTCAGTTCTCAAGACTATTCTATAGACGTACCCTCTGAAGAGAAAACGAGAAAGATTATGAAAATATATAGAGTCGGAACAGATTACAATTAATTCCTGAAGATGATGATAAATACGAGACTCAAAAAGTGAATTTTGACAAACGGCTAGGAGGTTCAAGATTTATTTACAGAGACCCAACATAATATTTACTGGAAGAATTCTGCTAAAACGAATACCATGTGTACTGGAAAAGTATATTTGAGAAGTTGCTTACTGATTTAAGTTGCCTCTGAACTCTTGATATCACACGCCAATCTATTTATTAACAGAGAACACTCTTGTACACACACTTGGCTCCCTGTTGCTGCAGAGTGGTGGCGTCTGGTCAATAGCCGTGTGATGAAATGGGTAAGAAAAGTGAATGGCATGAATAGTACTAGATAGCCTGCTGAGAAGTCAGTTAAACACCGCACTCCAGAGCCTGGCTTACCCACAATTAGAACACAGCTCTACAGGTGTTCTGGCGCAGAACAAAGTTCCCTGCCTCAGAAACACGGAATCAATTTGGAAGTCAAATCAATGACGCTACAATGCAAAACAAGATCATGTGCTGTATTTAATAGACCGAGACTCAGATAATAAAACCTGATATTCGTACCGAACATCGCCATTCTTATTTTTTATTTGTTTCGATTTTCACTTCGGAGACACGCAATCATGTTTTCTGTTGTACTTAATCTTTATAGACAAAATGCTGAAATATAACCTTAAAACAAGCCACAACAGCTTCCACCAGCAACCATTCCATTAGACACGAAACAATTTTTGTACGATACACAATGTAGTTTGTCTAACGAAGTTTCAAATAATGGACAAAGGATCTTATTCTAATAAATGATTCCATTAATCCCATCAATATGCAGTGAATTTGTATGTCCTATAATGTGTTCATCTGAGGTCTTCCTCAAAAATTTACACGACTGTGTAGTGATTTTAGCCAGATATCCCATCCTTCAGGCCATTTTCCGGTATTAACTATTTAATGAAGTTATAATGCTGAATTAGTAGTATTTATCAGTAATTCAGTTTCCACAGCCACATAAACATTAGCCATGAAAAGGGTTACATACATGCATGACCCACATGGTTCAAAAATTTTCTACACAATTTTAAAGGGCTGTAAATCAAGACAGATGTTTGCAAACCAATATATAATAGCATCTTTACTTGCTTTATATCCACTGCGGGGGCATCATGCTGACCACTCACCTCAATCTAATGCCGAGGTTAATGAGTAGGAGCTATAAATCTCTCGCCTCCTCCCCCCCAAGCGCCTACATGGCGTATAGCAGAGTGGTTTAACTTTACATTTTACTTGCTTTATAACACATTCTCAGAATTGTAAAAGTCAATACTCAATTATTCTATACGCAGAGAATCACTGTAGAATTCAATCAAAACAAAGCTTCACCAGGTTCAACGTGATAAGCGTCGGCACTACAGTACCCTTTGTAAATGCATTACATACCTTCAGTTCTGCTGACCTGTACCAATGTTGGGCACACCTTTTAGAGTGTCCAAAATGCTTTGGATCATAAGACGAACAGGGCTTCTAGCAAGCCACTTCACTGGTGCTAATAGAAAGGACAAGACCACAGACCCTGAATCTGTTACAGTTAAATTGGCCAGCACCAGATCTTGATGGAATCACATGCCCTGAACAGGGCTGCAGTCGGGTAACTTATGCAGAAGGTCAGTAGTTCTGACCATTACAGCATCAAACTGTATAATGATTAATGAATAATAATAACAAGAAATGTGAAAGAAAGTGGTCATGGCCTAATGTAACATACAATCCTGGCATCTGCCTGAAAAGACAGAGAAACCACAAAAACCCTGTCCAGGTACCTGGTCTCTACAGCAAGATTTGAACCCAGGTAGCCCAAGGTAGGAAAACCAATCACACAGAAGCAATTTTCAGCAAATCGACATGGTCAAACCAGATTGGTGCTCTTTTGACACCTGAAACACCACCCTGACACTTATTTTAAAGATGTCACAGTGTAGCCCAAGGGCAAAGGAATGTGAATCCTCCACTCCCAAAATACAAGACAGAGAACACCCCTCTAGAAACTTAGCATAAAATCAAACAGAACACGAGTGGTCAAAGACAAAGGAGACAGTATTCGAAGATTGCCATCTTCTGGCTTGTTGTGCCGCGTAGTCTGGTAGAAGTTTACCGATCGACCATCATTATCACACTCCACGGCGCAAACCAGAAGACAGCCATCTTCAGACTCACCGCCACGATAACCTCAAATCCTACGAGACTGTGTTCATTTGTACTAGTCTGATTATTGGGGCAGAACACCAATTTCTGTGTAGAGAATTTGTGATTCACTGACCAAGAACTTACACTTGTTCCTTAGTCACCATTCCATTTCTTACATTCTCATATACTTTCCATGTACCTAAACCATCAAGGTCTTCACAAGTTCCACACTTTCATACACCCATTTACTTTCTTCCGACAGATTTCCTCCAACACAGTACCAGTTAATGGATGATTTACTCCACAAATGGAGAAGTTGCCATGCAGTATTGTCGTTTCCTACTGGAGTAGGTTCTATTTCTTAAAGCAGAACTGTATGCAGTATTTGTACAACTCAATATTCCTGGCTGTTGACTTATAGCCAATGCAAACGAAATTACAGGCCACTGTTATCACACTTAATGACCAATGGTACATATGTACTGCCACAGATGATGGATGGCATCGAACACAGTTGGTGTTTTATTGAAGATGCCCTTTGAAAATTGTACAGGGAATTCCCGTTCTGAGGCTTTAATCAGTGATGGCCGAATAAAGAGTTGTACTGTATTGGGATTTTCCTGTACAAGGAACAGAAATAATGGAACACAAAAAATGTGACAAGAATTATTTAATGATAATGGAATCATAGTTACATTCAGTACCCTACACGTAAGAAATTTAATTCTTTGATGATAAAAGGAATCATACAATTGTTACATTCAGAACCCTAAACTTAAGAGATTTAATTCTATTATGAACACAAGAACAGAAAGGTAATGACAGATGACATGTGAGAATACACCAAAGGAAAATACAAACTAAAATAACGTCAATGAGTCCAGTCACTTCTGAAAGCTGTTATTAAGCCGACGTCACAGAGCACAACAACATGTTGTGCTGTGCCAGTAATCCATTGAAATATGTTCACACAAAACATTCATCTGCAAAGAAATATACAAATTAAAACAAATACCAAATTATTATGTAAATTAGCACTTACTTAACTCCACATGCTACTTTGTAAAAGCAGAATTCAAGACTAGTATTACACCTGCTCAAAAATCCAGATTATGTTAGCAATACTACATACCGCCTGTCTCTGGAATCAGAGCGTGAACGCCTGGGAGAGCGACTCCTGGAACGCGATCTGCTGTGCGAACGCCTACGTGGTGAGCGTGATCTACAACAACCAGGAGATACACTTAGTAACTTAGCTCACAATATGAACAGCAATGACCCTCACATGACTCTTCTGATGCAGTGTCTGCTTCTTTCCTCCTTACAGGCCTCATGAATATGTTTGAATCCCAACTTCAGCTGCAAAACACTAAAATCTGGAATAACAAAGGCCTATGACAAACCGCACACATTTCCCGAAGAAAGTGAATAAGCATAATCTCCAGCTATAAAACTGTATCTGTTATTACTGTGTGTTTCCATTACAAATGTTTACCTGCATTCCACAGTTCTCCATATAACAAAATTACATGAAATTCGCGGTATTACAAGAAGGAATTTAAAATGCTACATTTCTTTGACGCAGAAATTTTTTTGCAATGAATTATTGAAATCTTCACACTGAAGGAAATAATGCAACTGTAGCTAAAGAATATATGTAATGGTTTTTAATACTTGCTTCACGAGTCAGAAAAAGCTTCTGGACCATGACTTTATTCCTGAGATATTAAATCTTTGGCACAAATATTCTGTGGCTTGAGGCCCACCATTACTAGAACCATTGCATAATCTAATATAAAACAATAAACACCAGCAACCATTCCATTAGACACGAAACAATTTTTGTACGATACACAATGTAGTTTGTCTAACGAAGTTTCAAATAATGGACAAAGGATCTTATTCTAATAAATGATTCCATTAATCCCATCAATATGCAGTGAATTTGTATGTCCTATAATGTGTTCATCTGAGGTCTTCCTCAAAAATTTACACGACTGTGTAGTGATTTTAGCCAGATATCCCATCCTTCAGGCCATTTTCCGGTATTAACTATTTAATGAAGTTATAATGCTGAATTAGTAGTATTTATCAGTAATTCAGTTTCCACAGCCACATAAACATTAGCCATGAAAAGGGTTACATACATGCATGACCCACATGGTTCAAAAATTTTCTATACAATTTTAAAGGGCTGTAAATCAAGACAGATATTTCCAAACCAATATATAATAGCATCTTTACTTGCTTTATATCCACTGCGGGGGCATCATGCTGACCACTCACCCCAATCTAATGCCGAGGTTAATGAGTAGGAGCTATAAATCTCTCGCCTCCTCCCCCCCAAGCGCCTACATGGCGTATAGCAGAGTGGTTTAACTTTACATTTTACTTGCTTTATAACACATTCTCAGAATTGTAAAAGTCAATACTCAATTATTCTATACGCAGAGAATCACTGTAGAATTCAATCAAAACAAAGCTTCACCAGGTTCAACGTGATAAGCGTCGGCACTACAGTACCCTTTGTAAATGCATTACATACCTTCAGTTCTGCTGACCTGTACCAATGTTGGGCACACCTTTTAGAGTGTCCAAAATGCTTTGGATCATAAGACGAACAGGGCTTCTAGCAAGCCACTTCACTGGTGCTAATAGAAAGGACAAGACCACAGACCCTGAATCTGTTACAGTTAAATTGGCCAGCACCAGATCTTGATGGAATCACATGCCCTGAACAGGGCTGCAGTCGGGTAACTTATGCAGAAGGTCAGTAGTTCTGACCATTACAGCATCAAACTGTATAATGATTAATGAATAATAATAACAAGAAATGTGAAAGAAAGTGGTCATGGCCTAATGTAACATACAATCCTGGCATCTGCCTGAAAAGACAGAGAAACCACAAAAACCCTGTCCAGGTACCTGGTCTCTACAGCAAGATTTGAACCCAGGTAGCCCAAGGTAGGAAAACCAATCACACAGAAGCAATTTTCAGCAAATCGACATGGTCAAACCAGATTGGTGCTCTTTTGACACCTGAAACACCACCCTGACACTTATTTTAAAGATGTCACAGTGTAGCCCAAGGGCAAAGGAATGTGAATCCTCCACTCCCAAAATACAAGACAGAGAACACCCCTCTAGAAACTTAGCATAAAATCAAACAGAACACGAGTGGTCAAAGACAAAGGAGACAGTATTCGAAGATTGCCATCTTCTGGCTTGTTGTGCCGCGTAGTCTGGTAGAAGTTTACCGATCGACCATCATTATCACACTCCACGGCGCAAACCAGAAGACAGCCATCTTCAGACTCACCGCCACGATAACCTCAAATCCTACGAGACTGTGTTCATTTGTACTAGTCTGATTATTGGGGCAGAACACCAATTTCTGTGTAGAGAATTTGTGATTCACTGACCAAGAACTTACACTTGTTCCTTAGTCACCATTCCATTTCTTACATTCTCATATACTTTCCATGTACCTAAACCATCAAGGTCTTCACAAGTTCCACACTTTCATACACCCATTTACTTTCTTCCGACAGATTTCCTCCAACACAGTACCAGTTAATGGATGATTTACTCCACAAATGGAGAAGTTGCCATGCAGTATTGTCGTTTCCTACTGGAGTAGGTTCTATTTCTTAAAGCAGAACTGTATGCAGTATTTGTACAACTCAATATTCCTGGCTGTTGACTTATAGCCAATGCAAACGAAATTACAGGCCACTGTTATCACACTTAATGACCAATGGTACATATGTACTGCCACAGATGATGGATGGCATCGAACACAGTTGGTGTTTTATTGAAGATGCCCTTTGAAAATTGTACAGGGAATTCCCGTTCTGAGGCTTTAATCAGTGATGGCCGAATAAAGAGTTGTACTGTATTGGGATTTTCCTGTACAAGGAACAGAAATAATGGAACACAAAAAATGTGACAAGAATTATTTAATGATAATGGAATCATAGTTACATTCAGTACCCTACACGTAAGAAATTTAATTCTTTGATGATAAAAGGAATCATACAATTGTTACATTCAGAACCCTAAACTTAAGAGATTTAATTCTATTATGAACACAAGAACAGAAAGGTAATGACAGATGACATGTGAGAATACACCAAAGGAAAATACAAACTAAAATAACGTCAATGAGTCCAGTCACTTCTGAAAGCTGTTATTAAGCCGACGTCACAGAGCACAACAACATGTTGTGCTGTGCCAGTAATCCATTGAAATATGTTCACACAAAACATTCATCTGCAAAGAAATATACAAATTAAAACAAATACCAAATTATTATGTAAATTAGCACTTACTTAACTCCACATGCTACTTTGTAAAAGCAGAATTCAAGACTAGTATTACACCTGCTCAAAAATCCAGATTATGTTAGCAATACTACATACCGCCTGTCTCTGGAATCAGAGCGTGAACGCCTGGGAGAGCGACTCCTGGAACGCGATCTGCTGTGCGAACGCCTACGTGGTGAGCGTGATCTACAACAACCAGGAGATACACTTAGTAACTTAGCTCACAATATGAACAGCAATGACCCTCACATGACTCTTCTGATGCAGTGTCTGCTTCTTTCCTCCTTACAGGCCTCATGAATATGTTTGAATCCCAACTTCAGCTGCAAAACACTAAAATCTGGAATAACAAAGGCCTATGACAAACCGCACACATTTCCCGAAGAAAGTGAATAAGCATAATCTCCAGCTATAAAACTGTATCTGTTATTACTGTGTGTTTCCATTACAAATGTTTACCTGCATTCCACAGTTCTCCATATAACAAAATTACATGAAATTCGCGGTATTACAAGAAGGAATTTAAAATGCTACATTTCTTTGACGCAGAAATTTTTTTGCAATGAATTATTGAAATCTTCACACTGAAGGAAATAATGCAACTGTAGCTAAAGAATATATGTAATGGTTTTTAATACTTGCTTCACGAGTCAGAAAAAGCTTCTGGACCATGACTTTATTCCTGAGATATTAAATCTTTGGCACAAATATTCTGTGGCTTGAGGCCCACCATTACTAGAACCATTGCATAATCTAATATAAAACAATAAAAAGGTGTAGAAGTAAGTAACAATGTGTAACAATAATAATGTGTAAGTGGCTATGCAGTATGAACTTGGCAAATAAGGACAATGCAAAGGATAAACAAACAAACAAACAAGTAAACTATATAGAAAATAAATTACAAATATATGTAACACAATTTTAAAGCCTGAGCTAATATGAAGTGTACACTAAAACTGCATGTCCCAAATACATTAAATTAAAATAATTCTGATTCCCACATGTTACTGAAAAATACTGCAAATGATTAAAAAGACTTAATATGTCTAATGTCTGTAGCCATTAATTTCCAAGACAACAGAAAACAACTGGTTGGACATCACACATCATTCCAAGATTGCTGGATTCTTTACCCTCTAACAAATTAAAACCCAATACAATTTAATCTAAAGATTGAACTCCAAATAATTAGTTACCACTAACGTACATCAGAATTTTTCCAGTTGAACAAAAAGTTTAGTGCCATTCTTCTATATCAAGTGCCAACAGGCAAACTCATGAGCAATATAATTAATTCTTTACTCTTTCTGAAAACCCACCAAATTCAGTGATAGCTCTCAAGAATGTCAAGGTTTTAATTAATTTAATTTGAATAGAATACCAGACTGTATTGTAGTCAGGCAGGCGAATGCGTTGACATGAAGACAGAAGAGAATGGCGGGCGGGCGAGTTGGATGAGAAGCTGCTATTGTTGTGCCGATGCAGGCAACATCAAGTGATGTTGGAATGTCGTGATGTCGAGGCTAGTTGGGCGAGGGTTGTACTGCCTGGACAGGTTTCCAGTGGATTGTGGTTGGTAGTAGTGGTGATGGTGTAGTGGTGATAGTTGTAGTGACTGATGGTTGTTGGTGAAAGGTTGTTTTATTAAATAGCTGACGCTTAACTGTTGACACGCTTATTTTTGGCCTAACAGACGGATGAGAAGGGTGTGGCGGGTGCGATGCAATGCTGCGACGAGTAGAGCCAAGTTTTCATATGGGGAAGAAGTGGCCCAGTCATGTTGGTAGTAGCAAAAACATGAAGATCGGGGTGGTGTCTGGAGCCAGAGGTAGTAGAGCGGTAGGAGACGAGAGAGCCCTGTAAATTGCGTCACATCATCAAATAGAATGGTCAAACACCGGCTCTCGTCCAGACCGGCCTGGCCAGGCTCTCCTCTTTGCCTTCCCATATGCACGCATGCCACATCCGAGACTCTCGTCATAAAACCATACAAGGAAAACTTCTACATGAAAATAAATCATATGGAATGGAAAACCGACAACAAAAGTAAAACTCATATCTTGTGCTGATGTAAAACGACAAAGAATGCACAGAAAATTACAAAGAACATCTTTTCCACATTTTTATTCTTACATGACATAGAACCAAATTTCTTGCATTATTTAAAGCACTACACATATAATAAAATCTTGTAATTGGAATGTAGTACCTTGAAACTTATGCATAAAACACATTCCAAACAACTAATAAAACAGTACCTTCCTTATGTTGTGAATGGATGATACAGAGATGCAACATACCTGGAATAGCGTGTAGGGGCAGAACCTCTGCGCCCACCACCCCCACCCCCACCACCTGACATCTCTACACGAACTCGTGTCCCACACATGCGTCTACAAGAAAGAAAGGCACAATTACAACTATTGGCTAACAGTCACTCAACTAGTCAAGGCAGTACTTCCCTTTTCTCAAAATTCTTACTTCAGATTCTGAAGTAGCATGAATATATACAATGACTTGAATTGCCAGTCCTCATTTTTACATGTAAAATTGAGGCAAGTAGCAGAATGGATTCTATGCAGAGATTATGAAATAACCTACTTTACTGGTCATGTCTCATTATAGTTGTATGTTTTCTCATTTGCATTGATTAATAATCAAGCAGCACTTTATAACCTACTCTAATGCCAATGCACATTACAGTCATACCTCCATATGAATTTTTCATTTGTGATTCAGCTCCCAACAATTCTGTCAGACTTTTTTAATATTTCCCCATGGTGCATCCTCATAATACCCAAGACATTTAAAGACTACACAAGAATTAAACAGAAAACTGCGCCTGAATATTAACTGGTTTTTATATGTAATTTGTTGCACTTGGAAGGAAATGAAATGTTCTCATATGAAGAAAAGAATTAAGCAAACTGTAAAAAGAAAAAATGGAAAAAAAAAGTATTGCTCTGTACCAATATTGTACATATGTAGTATGCAATGTTCTCATATAAAGAAAAGAATTAAGCAAAGTGTAAAAAGAAAAAATGGGAAAAAAGTATTGCTCTGCACCAATATTGTACATATGTAGTATGCAAGTAATTTTGATCAATGTGAAATGGATACCTGCCAAGTTGTAAGCAAGTTTCAGCATGAACATATGTTCTAGTGAAATGGTAATTAAACATAATAAATCATCTCTAAGACTGTTATCAGACCTACTGGATAAATACTTACGTTCCATCCAAACCCCGTACTGCATCCTCGGCATCTCTGGGATCCTCAAACTCAACAAAAGCAAAACCTGGAGGATTTCTAGCTACCCAAACATTCCTCAGCGGACCATATTTGCTAAAAGCTGATTCAATCTCGTGTTTCGATGCACTGCTTCCCAAATTGCCAACATATACTTTGCATGAGAGATCCCATTCACGATAACGCGACATTGTGATAAACGCCTGTGGACATAAAAAACAATCCGAAGACAACAAAGTTATGTAATTTTAACCAATTCTCGAATTTGTGACACATAAATATTCTATGCAGTTAGAAACCTGGACAAATTTTTCAGCATATGGGAAGCAACATCACATCGTACATACTTTGCTTCCGACTGTACACAACTACGAAATAAATATAAACACCTTTCCTCATAACAAAATGGCGACACATCGAACATAATAATCATGTGTTCCAATCGATCATGAATACATAAATCAACACCAAAAACCATAATGTTATGTGAAGTAATTCCTAAATCCACGTCTGCAATTTCACATTTTCAAGACATGACCAAAAGTCACATTACATATAAACTTTAACAATCTTCAAGGCCATTTAAAGCCTACGCCTTAGATACTACCGAATCTGGAACATCCACCTATTTCAAGTGTTTTACTGTCCTAAAAAATATTCATTTCATTATTACTGGAATAAATATCTCACAACTTCATCATTAAACTTACAGCTCAAGACCGTAAACGCAAAATGCTACACTAAATCCCAGCACTTCACCAGCTCAGCTAGACGCTTTCATGCAAGGATCATTTCCAACGACTTCGTTCTGATAATCTCTGAAACCTACCATACACTGAACCACGCCTCGTTGTAGTGACAGGAAATATGATTGGTAGTAGCCTACAGCCGAATGATATACTCATTCTGATTGGTGTAAATGGTCGACTTCTTATGCAGCGTTGTCCGATTTATCGAGGAACATCCATTCTCTGAATTATGAATTTAGCCATGAAGTTTTATGCAGCCCGTACATGTTTATGAAAACGAAATTTCCAAAATTACGTTTAAAGAACTTTGCACCAGGGTGCTGATACTTATAGTGTCCATTGCTTGGACTCGAATTTTGCAGTCACTCCATTCACACGCCAGAGAGCGCTATTGACTTGAATCAAATGGGCATTTTTTCGTTTTATTTTCTGTTGGGTTTATTTGTGGAACCTATGACGAGGATTAATTTCCAGAACGACTTATCATGAAGCCTCCAAATACTGTCACAAATGACAAAAGAATCTTCAGCACTTTTTATTTTATGGCGAAAAAGGTGAACTTCCTAACTTGTAAATCTGCATATCTTAGACAAAGAAACTGCCAAGACTGGCATTATTTGATATTTATGCTATTCAGGGAGTTTTGTACGACGAATAATTTAGTGAAATGCTGAATAGCATGTTTCTTCAGTTCGCGTCAACATGGCCGTGTTGCGACATCTTTCGGCGATGACTAAATATTTTGCGTGTGCCAAGTCGCATCGTACAAGCTGCTTTATTTCGAAAAAAACATTAAACCATGTTCCATCGCCACAGAGTGTGTGGCCATTAATCGGACATGCTCATCTCTTTTTTCCAATGGGTTTGTTTTGAAGTTTACAGAATTTCGTTAACATAGGTATAGGCTATGGTGCTTACTTTGTGGCCAACATGACGAGATAAAATTATATTTCTCTGGGGATTCCAGAAGTGTTTAAGTCAATGTTTGCGTTTTGATCCAGGGTCATCACTTATATTGTAAAATCGCACATTCTGTGCTATATAGCTGGGTAAAACAAACATCACTGTTTGTAAAGATTTTAAGATGGCTATCTTCTGAGCTGTAGAGCCGTGTAGTCTGCTGGAACTTTACCAGACTACATGGAATTGCAACTCAGAACACAGCCATCTTCAGACTTACCGCTGTGAAAGCCTCAAATACTACTGTAAAAAATTTTGGTTATTATGTTACCCTTAATCGCAAAGAAGTCAGCAACAGCACTTGCTGAATGGTCACCAAATGAAAGTACAGTTGATTTGGAGGTCCTCATTTGTCGATTAAAGTCGAAAGTCAGTATCTGTGATAAACGCGATGTATCGACATCGAGAACATTACACCGAAGGGCTGTCAATTAATACTATGAAGGACTTAGGGTTCAAATCAAAATTCATGTAATAATTTTTTGGGGGGGTGGGGGTTCAACATATTTTCTAACGAAAAGTTACCGAAATCCTGGAATGCAGGCGTGCAAATAAATGCACATATGAAAGAGCACATTACTTGTATTTGTTAAATGTTCACCATGAGAGTAAATAATATTGGAATAAATTTCAAAACACTGTACAGAGTAGTCTTGTCGCTAAAGGCCCCTTTAAGCAATAGAAGTACAATTGATGCACCGAAGATTATCAAACGTCAATGTGCATTTAGAGTATAATGTTGGAAGTGGACACTAGTTTTGTAAATATTTTCCCATTAAATGATGCAGTATCCATGTTACTTCCAAAATGGCAGATTGATCCTTCTGGTGATAAATTGGCCCAATGTGGAGCAATTCACCTTCATATATTGCCCTAATGATAGAAGCATCAAGTACCTCTGAAACATTGATCAACTTCTACCAAACTACACAGTGCTACAATCCAGAAGACACTCATCTTCATACTTCCCACCATCAAATCCTACTCTTACCTTAACCTTAACATTTTTGAATACTGGTGATATTCATTGCAATTTAAAAGGCTGTAAAAAAGTACTACATTTTGGAAGCTGGATCTGCTTCTGTCCTCACATTAAAAAAGAGAAGAGGGAACCTACTCATTTGGATTTGATAGAAAGAACCTCAGTAACTGGATGCTCTTCTGTTGAACCCAACTGAGGATGGAAGCAGATCCAGCTTCTGAAATGTATTGTTCTTTTTCAAAAAACACACATGAAGGACATAGTCCAAGAACTTTGTGATCTTGATTGTAACACACCATCATCACCTTTAAAATTAACTTAGTTTACTTATTTATTCTCCTGATGTAGTTTCAAATAATGATAAAGTTACAGGTTAAACTAGTTTAAATATTTTTAAAATTAGTTGAAACAGTGCAGCTTGGTGAGTCCAGATGTGGTTTTGTATTCTGAGCTATGCATTTTATAGGGTATCCCCATAGAGTGATCTCCAACAAAGGGCAATTTTCGAGTCAGGCATGTAGCACTGAAAGTAGCAATGAGAAATACATACAAAATTTTGTTTGGGAAACCCAAATACTTACTAAACTTTACAGTCTGGACTATTTCTGCAAATTTGCACAGGTCCATATAAATTGGAAAGGCTAACTGATGCTGTTATGGACTTGAGTAGGCAGCTCGGACCAGTGTTCAAGTTACGTCTCAATGGTGCAGATATTGTTGTGACTGTGGATGCTGATGACACCCGAACAATGTTTCGTCATGAAGGCCGCCTCCCATACAGACCGCCATTTCCTGCAGTTCAGCATTATCGACAGAAGACATTTGGCAGCATAGGCATTGTTCCAGGGTAAGTAAATAGTATGAAACGGGATAAAGACTGACACAACATTTTTGTGACAGTTCTTTTTAATGCAGCTGCAACAGAGAATCATGATTCAGCTTCAGTACCAAAGGTTTAATTCTGTTGGATAATGTACAGGGATCATTACTGACATTCAGAGACCAGTAAAGATACTCTTTAGGTGTTTATATACAATGGATATTCATAACAGTTACAATCACTTTTTGGCAAGTGCAGTTTCCTATGGCAAGATACCTTCATTTGGAAACAATGCAAATGGATTAATATCTATTAATAAAGTATCTCTTAACAATGGAATTTTTCTGTGTTCTAGGAATGGAGAAGAGTGGTACAAGTATCGTGCAGCAATACTGCCACTTTTGCGCACAAGTGTTGTCAAGGCATATGCTGATCAGCATATGCAAGTGGCAAGAAATTTTGTTGATTACATTCAAATGAAGATGGATGAAATATCCTCAGATATTATGACTGATGTCTGTCAGCACTTGTTCAAATATACTATTGAAGGTACATCATAGCTTCTCTCTCTCCTGCTATGTGCCATTAAATTAACTGAAGATGACTGTCTTCTGGGATGTTGCACATTGTAGTCTTGTACAAGTTTACCAGCATTGCAGAGGTGCTCGCTGCCTCCATTGACAAGACTTCATACTTCCCCCATTTTGTTATCATTACTTATAGGCTATTTAAAATATGCTTTGAGGTCATGCAGAATACCACAACCTCCATATCAAATTTTATCCAAATCTGCCCAGTGGTTCTCAAGTTGAATCAACTGGACAGGTGGATGGATGGATGGACATACGGACATGACCAGACCAGACCATAATGCGTTCTCGCTATGCACATCATACAAAGAAGGCATAATAAGGAATAGTAATTTGTTTCTTTCTGGTGTAATATATGTTGTGTTCAGAACAATAGATCTGTGTCTACAGTAAATGGATATCAATACAATGAAATACTTACTATCACAAAGAATGCATTTGGAGAATAAAACATTTGTAGATGTATGATCTGATGTTTTCACGGCAACCAAGTATAATAAATTTTTCTCAGGCTACCAGCCGTGTAAAATGGCTTAATGAAGAAAACACCAGCGTTTCGAGAACCATCTTCATCCTCTGAGAAGAATTTGTTAAATTTTTAGATATTAACCATGAATTTTATTCGTTTCTGCAGAACAAACTATATGGAATTATATGAATTCAAGTGCATGAACATATGTAGAAAGTAGGTCTGACAAACATGATTACTCTTAAATTCATAAATTTGTCTGATTAATTACTAGTATTCCTATTAGCATAACAGTATTGTATAATCATAGAAATACGTATGTAGCATTTATTGATTACCAATCTCTGGATTTGTTCAAGAACACTTTCCTTGTTCAATATTAAAGCCATCTCAGTAACAAGCCTTGGAGTGCAGTTCTGTGATGTGGCAGCTCCAAATAGCAGAGAACATGTTACAAAGGACATCATAAATGCCAGTACAGACTTCATGGATGGGTTATACAAAACAATGATTGGGTTCCCTTTATGGAAATTCTATCGAACCCGTGGCTATCGGCAGATAGAATCATCACATGAATGCTTTCGCAGGTAAACCAACTGCAGATAAAACACCAGCCACATACTTTACATAAAATTCTATATTTCAGTTGTGTTAACTGGAAATATCTGTACCTTAAAATTGTAATTTTTCAAGTTTGATCATCTGCGGTAACAGTTATATTTTTAATTAACACTATGGATGATAGCAATATATGGTTTACAAATCTTGTTTATTTTACTAAATATAAGAGTACTTCAAAAGTAGAGTCACTACTTGATTGTATGGTAACACAAAGTTCCCGAATTATGAATGTGTTGCATTTCAGAAGTTCATAAGTCTTTTAGTAGAGAACTCAATTTCTCATTAATACATTGTTATAAATGTCAGTCATGTTCTTATGCTAGGCAAAATAGACTGTTTAACCAGTAATTAAGCTTAAGTACAGTACAGTTCCCTAGAACAATGACTGGTTCATATGCATCAACTGTCATCTGTGCAACCAAATTATTGTACTTATAGGGTAGGCAACATCTTTATTAGTATGTGCTAACATTAGTAATTTAGATATTTTTTGCTAAGGGTTTCCTGAATTGGTGTAGATGGAAACCAAAGAACGTACTAAATACATACTTATGTTCTATGAAGCTGTAACATGTAATTTTACCTGCAAAATTCATAAGTAAATGTATACATTTACCAATAAGTAATGAAAGTAATATAATTTTCATCAGCTAAGTGGGTAAAAAAGTAGTTTTCAAGTGTTTCAGTATGAGCCTAAAAGTTATATCATTGATCTCTGATCTTTGTGACAACAAGGCACATATGTCATATTCTGAATCTGTCTAAGTACTTCCCATGCTATAGGTTTTTCAATTGTTTATATTTGTCGTAGTTGAAAGTTCCAGAAATTAATTTTGCATTGCACATGGAAAGAAAGAAATGCTACTTATTTTCACAAATACACATATTGTCACTATTGTTCCAATATTTTGTCTTTTAATGCTTTTTTCCTTTCCAAACAAATAATGGTAAATGGCACATACAATGTGTTTTTTTAAACATTTCATTAAAATATTGCTGAATGTACACTACATTTTGAAACTGGGTTGCAAAATTTTACCATTGTCATATATAGATTTGTAATCCCGACATTAGTGTGTCTTATGTTACAGGATTTTAGAGAACACACTTCAAGAAATGAAGTACAGGTACAAGAATAGTCCTGAGCAAATTGCATCAGCACACCCTTTCTTAGCAGCTTTATTTGATAATCCAACACTGGAATGGAAGGATATCATCATGTTGGGACTAGAGACCTTTGCTGGTGGAATTGATGCTGTTAGTGAAGTTTAATTTACAAGAATTCTCAATCTGATTAACTCCTTGCAAAGAAGTACAAGGAAAATTGAGTAAACATTTCCAAAATCAAGGGAACTGGTATAATTTTAATATATACATATAAATTAGGGAGTTCAGAAATGAGGGAACACTTTATTAATCAGAAATAAGCTTCAGCAAAGAATATGAACTGTTTCTATTTCATTAGCCAGATGTCTAAATGTAACCATTCTCATATTATTTCTTAACAGACAGCCACCACAATGGCAATGACATTTCATTACCTCGCAATTAATCCTGCAGTTCAGCAGCAAGCATATCAAGAGGCTTTAGGGCAAGGATCAGTCCAGGAGATGTCCTTCTTACGAGCCTGCATCAAAGAGACTCTTCGACTCTCTTCCACTGCTGGTGCAAACAGTCGTGTCTTGGCCAGTGATGCAAATATTGGGGGTTATCTTATACCTGCTGGAGTTAGTAGTTGCATTTTTATTTGTAGTACATTAAGATTGACAATTTTGCATAACATATTAATAAATAGAAGATAAATGAGTAATAAGAAATAAAATTGTTACTTTGCATTCCTCTCAAATGTCTTGGTTCTTTTATTTCAGACACTGGTGTCTGCATTTAATTCTGTAACTTCATTAGATGAAAAGTATTTTGTTGAGCCATTAAAGTATCAGCCTGAGCGCTGGCTACGAGATTCTTCAGCAAGAAAAGGACACCCTTTTGCATCTTTACCTTTTGGTTATGGTCCGAGAATGTGCCCTGGGCAACGCCTGGCAGAACAGCAAATGGTGTTATTGCTGGCAGAGGCATGTCAATATGTCACTTCATTCTTACAATTATAGACCTCAATTATTTCATGCAAATATGGTTAAATATATGGCATTTGACATTTTTCTTCAGTGAATTTTTAGCACTGGTTTTTCCTGGAAAAATGTATACTAAAACCATGTTAGCTGTTACATCTACTACAGTTCTTTCTGAGTAATGACTAGTTTATTAAAATATTGCATTATGGAGGCACGTAATACACACATTCATAAATACAGAACATAATGCTCTGCAGTTCTGTATGCACCAATTGTGATACACATTTCTGTTTTTCTTCATTATTTAACTCTTACTTTATTTCTGTCATCATTAATATTTTTATTCCAAAGAAGTCTTACAGTTATTTCCAGATTATAAATATAAAGTTCTTATTCAAGAAAGTAAAATCAAGTAATTGTTCCAATAAGGAAATAACATAAATTAAATTAATCTTAAATTAAAGACACTTACCCAAGATGTTGTATATTCATTGTCAGTATTTGAAAGCATTACATGTGTAAACACTTTCAAACAGGTGCTGAGGAAATACAAATTGGAATCTGCACAGCAGACCCCAGATCCTGTAGGGATGGTTTACCGCATGAACCGAGTGCCCGACAGACCCATCAACCTTTGCTTCCGGAATCGAGGCATACAGGAGAGGCAGCCTGTGAAGTTAACTTGATTCTTTACAGACAGCAAACCCATCAACTGTTATTAACCTTAATAAGGTACCTTGCAATTTCTTGATAAAACACATTGATATTTCTACAAAAACTACTTTAAATATGTAAGTAGTATTATTGTTAAAACTCTGTTTTTACTATGTATGTTAGTTTATACCTTATGCTATTCATTTATTTGTACTTTTATACCAAATACAGCAAGCTTAAAATATTATTATGTTATTATTATATGTTCTCCTACAAGTTCATGAAAAAATTCTGCACAAATACAACACAATGGCAAATGCAAACACAAGGAGCAGAAGTACTGGTATATGAAACAGCACTCTTCAGTGTGTTGAGTATTATTACTAAAACACAGGTATGGTGGAAGCTTTTCAATGGTGTACAGCCATGGTACAAAATTGTAAAATTTGTTATGTAATAAAAGACTGCTCTATGAAGGTAGAGCAAGTCAACATTTATTATTTAGCAAATTTCAGGTGATTCCATTAAGTTGGTTCATCCTTGTAAGAGGAACTGCACTATAAGTTATGACTAACTGCATGCAAGGTATAACATTCTCACAATTACATCACTATTTCTCTTGATAATATTTTGTCATGACAGCTTTGGACACACAATAAGTACAGTGCTCTTCACATATTTTCTGCTTAATCTTTTTAAGTCACTGATTTTTCTCCAGAACAATGTTCAGCAGTCATGAAGTTTGCAGACTTTATAATTTTAAGACACTTTTTATAAGCAAAAATGTGAAAAAGTCTCCAAATAAACTACTGTTGCTTTCATACAAATATTTCATAAATAAAACAGCAGTTTAAAACTCAGCATTGGTTTCATTAGACTGCTGTAACTGACACATCATACACATCCAATTATGGTCTATTCAACCTGCCTGGTCTTTAGTATGCTAAAGAATATAATTTCCAACTTGGGGGTACTTAAAATAAGTAGACTCTGCTACCCTTGATGATGGTCAGTGGAGGGGATATGTGTTTAATGCTAGTTCTGAAACACTGTGGACCCTGGTATTTCTGGAATTAAGTTGGCATAATGTAAAATAACAATAATAATAATTCCATTATATCAACTTCACAGTGAAGGAAAATTCTTATCAATTCAGAGTTAATCTAGTGTTTGACTACAGGAGATTTCTTTATATGTGCTGTGTTCATTCCTGTAGCTGTGATAACAAGCTACGCTGTGTTTGAACCACAGGGAAAAATATACCCTGGAAAACACTATATTTAAATAATTCTTTCAATCCCGCAGCTCTGGCATTTAGCATTTAGTCACCGCCTGTGACACTTCATTCTGGGGTGAGTTTGTCTCTGAATGCTTCAGGTTTCCATGAACATTAATCACAAGTGCTTCATGTTCACCTATTAGCACCTCCAAAAGCACAGGAAGCCGCACTATTCAGCAAATTATCCTAACCCCAGTCCCCTGACCTGATCCTTAGTTGGATGCAGAGCAAGGAAGTAAAATTTATTTTAATTTAACTTTTAATTACAAACTTAGTTTGTGTGATGATCATGGGAAACTTGAGTAAGACAGCTTCTTAACTGTTGAACTTCTGGTTACACTTAGCATTATACGATTGCACATAATGATTCCAGCCTTTCCTGAGTTATTACATTTTACTTTAAATGTCCTCACCTTTTCATCATTTGCTCATGTTGCTGTCACATAAAAGTCTCTGATGTCTTGTGTTGCTGACCCATCAAGAATATAAATGGAGTCACACTGAAAACTTAGGTCAGACTAGACTATCAAATCTTGGCTAATAGGTGTAAAGGCTGACATACTATCTCTCTAGCTTACAATCACAGACGTTTTTATATGCACCAGCGCAGGGGTTCTTAACACATGGCCCATGTGCATTTTTGTGAAGTACAAAAAGTCATTAAGCAAAGGTGAATATGGCCACAAGTCATAAAAGGTCAAGAGCCCTGCACTAAGAGTATAAATTCATTGTTATCATATCATAATGTGTATTATATTAAGACTTCTTCTGTGGTGAAAGTGGTTTACATTTCTGCTTGCTCTCCAAAGGACATTTTAATGTATTACTTTAATATAAACTTGTCTCCTATCAGTGACCTATCATTGCTCTACAATTATTGAGCTACAAAAGCCTTGTCTTATCATTTTATTTACTTTAATAATGTTTTTTATTTAGCCCAACACAACAAATATTAGAAACAAATACAAACGTGAGATTCAATCCATATGCCAGTGCCATATATGTGTGGGGATTTTCAATTTATCTCACTGTCCTGTGCCATGTGGGGGAAGATCTTTTTTCGGTGTTGCTGTCATATATGTGTGGGGATTTTCAATTCATCTCACTGTCCTGTGCCATGTGCAATCTCTGTTCTATTCTGAGGGGGAAGATCTTTTTTCGGTGTTGCTGATAGACATGTACACGCAGACTGCTGCGGTTTTTCACCTGCTTGCCACACTCTGAGCATGAGAAAGGCCCTCGATCCACACTGTGGAAATCACGGACATGAACTTTGAGGTTGAACTTGTTGACAAATACACGAGAACATAATGGACACTTCATGCATGACCTCAGCAGACCACTGACACTCCCTGCAGACAGACAGCCTGAAACAACACAGACACATATATCACCACTGTTCATAAAAATCTGTAATAACTGTCTATGTAAGCAGCTTATAACTAATGTAGTGTAGGAAGAAACTGATTATTAAACTCCATTAAAGTCCATTGTTGTCATATGCATTTTGCATACTATTGTACAGCTTGTACTAAATTAATATCAAATAATAGTATGATTGCTAAAACTTAAGACAGGCTGAACAGGGTGCCCTCCTTCATCTATTCTTCAAAATATACTAAAGAATGGCAGAATAAACACATCATTATTAATAAAGTAATCTTGGCCTGTCTACTATCTGCATTGTCTGCAGATGGTCAAGCAATTATTGTAAAATTAGAATGACACATACAAAAAGCAACATATTTATTATGCCAAGTAGCAGATTAGAATCATAACATTTTCAATATGGAAACAGAAGCAATGACTACACACTAAGAAGCAAAACAGAGACAGATAATCAAAAAATAGAGGACATCAATGACATCAAATATCATATGAAGAAAAGGATAAAGTTATTCCTATCGCATTCTGAAATAACATATTTTATTCTGCATTATCAGAATCCATATTTTCTCATACAGGATGCATGACTAGAAGTTTCCAGAGTGATATGCTGTGATGAGTAAAGAAAAATAATACCAAATGATAAAAAAAAATTGAGCAGTAGTGCTAACTGACTGGAAAATATGGAATATGGAAAAAATTAATCTCATTATTACTATATTTATATAGTGTTGGATTAAGCCACATGTGGTTTATAATTTTTAAGTGTGTGTCTTTCAAAGAATTTTATAAATCTTATAAAGAGTGACCACATTTAATTTTATCTCAGTTTTTTACAGATTGAACAAAGTGGATTAGTCTACTGTTAATCCCAGATCTTTGATTATCTTTTTGTATAAGAGATGTTACATTTCTGAAAATGATAAAATGTATGTGTGTTACTACGCCTTGTAATGGGTCCAACAGATAATTTGCCAAGAACATAATCTGGCTATGCACATAGCCACACACAAAACAGGAATCACTTTTTGCATAATATAATCTGGTTATGCAGAGAGCCACGCACAAAACAGGAATCACTTTTTGCATAAAATAAATGCATTATCACATATTGTAGTCAACATGATGCAGTCTTCTATTTTACCATTTTGTACATAACCAGTTCCTAACAGTTACATTACTTTTACTACAGATATTTAAAACTAATGAAAGAGAACTTCCTCAATCCTCATATATATAAAAATCAAGATAATATAAAACAAAATACTAGTAACAGTTCTCAGTTCTCGCATATGAATACTTCCATCACTCAAGTGATGAATGTTTGAACTAAATTAAAATCTTTGGGCACTTGTTACATGTTTTCACTACTCTTTACATTCTGCAGACAGATCTTATAAGCACAGATTCTCTACACAAAGGCTAGTATATTTAAAATACATGTGTGGTTCAAATTTGATATGAAATTTTAATTGTTTTTCAGTATCACCAACTGTTGTGGAAGCATCAAAAAAATTCTATCCTGCAGGGATGAGAAAAGTATGTACACAGAGAAGAAGAGTGCTTTGAGAAAACTGCCTAATACTAAATATGTATGACAAATTATTGACACAGTACAACGTATGACAAAATTTTAAATGCATACACAGTCACATAAATATATTTAACAAATTTTAAGAGTGCAATACTTTAGGTCACTAGATGCTCTAGAAAAAGGCTGTGATTTAAAGCTGAATTTAGGAAGTAAGCAATTTTATATCATTCAATTTCATTCTCTTTTCATCTATGTTCAACAATGTTCCAGAACTTCTTATAAAACAGACTAAACAGCGCAATTTTTTCTTTAACTGTGAATAAATTACAGATTAATGAGCTACTTTAATTATTAAGTGTATGATGGAATAAATATTCTGATTAGGGTCTCTGCTCCATGGAGTCTGTTATATTACTATCAGTATCCCTGAGCCTTTATTCCAGCATTAATTGTTTCCATAAAATTTAGACATTCAACTTAAAACACAAAATGAGTGCTGCTTAGCAAATAATTCAATGGCTTTAACAATTTTGTACATAATACTCTTCAATATTTTTCAAAGGACTGAACATTCTTCACAGTCTCTTTGAAATAATTCATGTTTACACTAAATTTTGTTCCTAATAAACTTATTATACAAAGTAAATTCAACATAAATATAGTTTCACAACCTATATGTGTCTACTGTTGGGTCTTGTGCATTGTGACAGGAGAATGGAGAATGTTTTTGGGAGCCTGATGATGTCGATATTGGTGAACCCGCAGGCAACTTTTGTTCTTCACTTGCTTCCCACAGTGAGGACAGAAGAATGGACCTTGATCATCTCCATGAACATCACGCATATGTACCTTCAGGTTGAACTTGTTTCTGAAACCCCGTGAACATAGGGGACATTCCATTATGTACACAGCACTGTATAACCAACCTGCACAAATACAGAAACATGATGTTAGCATGTGTCATTCGTGCTTTATTGTACTAAAATATATAAGGACACATCATTTTAAATGTCTGAAATTAAAATAGATAAAACAGCTGTAAAAGTGTTCTAATTATTTATAAATTACATTAATACTCATATATGACAGCTGAACTACTTATATTCACGTATTTATTGTGAATGTCTGCAGTAATTAACTTATTAATCCACCTGCCCACTGTCTAATTGATGCAAAGAAGGAATACCTTTCTGAAGTGGGAGTACCATATGATAAATTCTTCTACTCCTACTGACTGGATTATTGTGACAAAAATATCCAACAAAGGTGACCTATAGCTTATTATGGCATCTTAAAAATGATGCAGACAGTTAAGGACAATCATCAACAACCGCAAACAAACAAAACATGGAGCATATTCAGGCAATGATTCATGGAAACTGTAGGGTAACTATTGCATAAATTTCTGCAAGACTGGACATTAATGTAGCTCATTCTTCCTCATATAGCAACCACCTTCATGCCACTCACTTGGAACAAATGGCAACTGAATCATACAGCATGTCAGTGTCTGACCTTCAGCTATAGTATGCACGGGCTTCAACAGTGTTGCCAACTACACAATGAAAATATTGCAGTATTACCCTTACTATCTTAAATCTCCTCTTACATGTACAAGAAAATATAATCACATAACAAACAAATATAAAACAAATTAGTTAATCTACATTTCTGCAGCTGTACAGTTTCAAATCAAATACTTAAAAATGTTAGACGTGCACATTTAAAGTTAAGGCAGTTCAAAGTGGGAGAGGACTGGGGTTACATTCTGATAATTTCTCTTAGTACTCAAATACAATTCAATACTGTATGCTAGGTTTTGTTTTAATTTCTGATTTAAAATATTCTAATATTTCTGTTCCAGTTTTAATAGAAGATACTTGAAAATTGTAAGAAATAAACATAATTTGTTTTAATAGGTATAACAGAGTTTACTGAACATTTTATGGTTGTATTTAGTTATTGAAACTTTAAGAGTAATATGTTTACTGAGTGAACCGAGGATCTCACAGCAATGATTATAAAGATGGCTGTTTTCTGGGTTGTTGCATAGAGTAGTCTGGTAGGAGTTTACTAATGTTTCAGAGCTACTTGCTCCATCGTCACTTCCCACTACAATATTCAGAATCATCCTGTGATCAATGCTACAAAACCAGTGCAGATAAGAGCGTGGGAAACCAAAAAATAAACAAGAGATTCTATAATCTTTAATAACTGTTCTCAGAAACTAAATTCTATTATTATGCTGAATGTCATAAAATAATTTTAAAAAACTGTATCGATAAATTAATTTAGAAATCATTTAAAAACTGAAAAAAACAGCTAAAAATAAAAGAAGTACAAGTGAAATTCACAGTAGTTACACACTAACTGTGGCTCCACGCACTGGACACATAGACATATCACAATTTCATTTACCAATGTGATTCTTAATAGATCATATATATGGTTAAAAAGAGTTTCTTACAGCATAATCCTCCATCTTATTATATAGAAAGTAATACTGCTAGAGATCTAATACATTTCACTTTCAAATTAATTTCCATATAACAAAATACTGACACATAGCATTGGAATAGTTAATAGTCATCTTAACACATAAATGAACGATGTAAACGATACAAGTGTACACGCAGAGAACCCCTGTTCTTCACTATCTTGCCACATTTATTGCAAATAAATGGTCCTTTATCAACACTGTGAACATCTCGAATGTGGATTTTGAGGTTTGTATTGTTCACAAACACTCTCATGCAGTATGGACATCTGGCATTGTGATTGGATGTGGGCCATGATGAACCTGAAAAAGAAAACATCAGTGATTCTTTAAACGCGAATATCTAAACAGCTTGAAATAAGTTTTAACTCATTCTCTCCCAAGATTTTCAGCAGAGAATTTTTTATTTTTTATTTTAATTTACTATGACTGTGTAGGATGATGTAAATGTTAGCCACCTGCATTCCAGGAAAAGGGCTCATTGTACCCATTGAGATAAAAGCTGAGTATAGCTCCCATAAAAACTTTATACCACTTGGCTCCCATCTAATGATAAGGAATTATAATTATGCATGAGGTTGTGCCACATAGATTTTAATTTCTTACTATCAGATGGGAACCTAGCAGCATATAATTTTGTAGTGATAAATTCTTGAAAAGTGTGCTAATGTTATTTCCTTTCAAAATGGAAATGAATAGAAAAGAAAGTACGCACAATTTATATTTGGGTGGTAATTGATACATTTTCTATGTAATGTTTTTGTGTGTGTGTTGAAAGCTGGCAAACACAGAAATGGCATATATAAATATCTAAGGTTAGATTTAATCCTTTGACAAGTGATGTTTAGATGACCTAAAACACTGCCAGATTGAATTTGTCACTTATGCAATTTTTGGTAAAAAAATATCAAAGAAAGGAAATAAAATTAGCACTGTGAGCAATCGGTCCCCAGTACAGTAGATGTCATAAGCGTACAGTACTCAGCAAAGCAAAGATTTGCTTGTCACACATGATCATTCTGTAGGACATGGAATATGAAAACCACTCAACTGTGTTCATGTTCCATGCAACATTATGACGCTGAACATGCCAGTACATTCTATTCTGTAGAAGAATTTACTTAAACCAAAAATTCTTGACAATTATAAATACATGTAAGCAACAATGGTGATATTTTCTTGCGTAACTATTTTTGCATTAAATCACAGTCACAACTATGCAGTTTCTTATTTGTATTAGAATCAAGTATTGTGTTATAACATGTTCTGCATCCTTGGAATGTAAAAAGTTCCAGTCTATTCTACTCATCAAAGGTAAACAATTTTCAGTCACCAGATGTCTATAGTAAAAAACAGATGATTGAACCATATAAATGTATAAGTACAGTTGGCCCTTGATGGAAGCATTTAAAAGAAAGTAGGCACCATACATACTTCTCAGAAGATCAGTTTTATATTTTTGATACATGCCCTTCCCATCATTATGGAACATGATTCAGAGTTGCAAAAACAACACAGTTCCATCAATCTTGGAAGTGTAGTTCTGACAGTATGTGGATAGGGATATGTGAGCTGGGTAACAATTTGGTACATAAGAAACTAGTATTATGATAAAATACAAAAAACAGGAAAATTAAGGTAAGTTAAATTGGAATGATGACATCAAAGATGGGTAAAATGTTACATTCGAGTCATGTTTATGCTTCAAGACACATTAATGTTCATGTGTCACAGCTCACACAAGATCAGTTGACGGTGTGTTGCTTTAGCATAATGCATCATACCTAAAGTCTTGCTGGCAGCCATATTAGTGCATTAAATTTCTACTCAAAACTCTGTAAATGTTCACATTCAGACTCATGTTCATACAATATTTCTGATTGGGAATAACCTCAGGAATAAGATCCTGAAGTACTGACGTAAAGCCACTAGACATCCTGCATATTTGTTCTGTTTTATTTCTCTGCACACAATATTGTTTTCTTAGTAGTACTTGTACCTCTAACAAAAGTTACATTGTGTTAAAATTAATTCATTACTCACTGAGAACTGTACAGTTTGCAGCATTATAAATAATGAGATAACTTCTTATGCAAAGACAATGGATGGAAATATTATAAATGCCAGGTGTGGCCACTTAAATAAATGTAAGGATTCAAATTGTGACATATACATCATACATATTTATTACATTCCACAGAACCATAAATTAGTCAGATAATAATAGGATGTGGAATAAGTTATACTATACAATACAATTCATACCTTTATAAAGATTTCACATAATATAATCAAAGGGTTCACATAAAGTAGTGATATGTTAGAAATACATCCACCCATAACATACAGTAAATAAATTACACTACCCATTATGACTTATTTGTAAACATTAGAAATTCATCAATTAAATTTCTAGACCACAGTTTTGAAGAATTTGATACTGTTCTTGATACATCTGGTATTTTTTATGTATGCAGTACATTTTTTGTGTTATTTGTATGACATGTGTAAATGAATGAATAATGGGAGGGTCTTAACTATCCTTATATTTAATAGTATTTGAGGTTCTTGTGGTGGTGAGCAAAAATATGGCTCCCTTTCAGGTTGTAGTACAATGTAGTCTGGTAGAAGTTTACCAATGTTTCAGAGTTCCTTGCTGCCTCTACCATCAGGGTGATGATAGAGGCACATGATGACGCAGGCAGCAAGGACCTCTGAAACATTGGCAAACTTCTACCAGACTACACAGCACCACAACCCAGAAGACAGACATCTTCATCCTTATATTTGCCTGCTTCTTTCCCCTTAAAAAATACAATCCATGGACTACTTGATTACATACAGTATGATTGTAAAAATCACAAAAAATGTCTATTTCTCAGTCTTCTTTCTTCATGATTAGATGTGCTCCCTGCATTCAGTAAGTACTAAAATCAGACTGTAAAACTAGTAGTTAGTTGCAGTTACTGAAACTGAACACAAAATAACATACATGTTTATATAATAGAAAATAGATTCTGAGATATCTTTCTCAATAGTTTCTGCATTTTACTCTATAGAAGTTGGAACTTAGATAGAAAAAGTTTCTTGCTTTGTATAGACATGTCACACTGTTCTCCACATTCATGAAAATACCACACTATTTCAATTTATATAAAATACATAATCTTTAAGTCATTCACAGAGTGTGACTGCGGTATATGTGAACACGCAGACAGCTCCTGTTCTTAACTTGCTTGCCACAATGAACACAAGTGAATGGACCTTTGTCAGTACCGTGAACATCTCTAAAGTGGATCCTGAGGTTTGACTTGTTCACAAACATCCTTGCGCAATATGGACACTTGATACTTGGAAAAGATGATCCACCACCATGGTAAGACAAGAGAGTACCTGAAACCCAAAATACTGATGTCAGACAGTGAGAAAGCAAGGTAATTGGTTGATGATAAGTCTTCACATAAAATTAACAAACTTCATGGTGCATGGTCTTGCTTTACAGCTTGACAATTACTAAACTAGTAAAGAAAATTCCATTCT